AGCGAACTGATTGTCATCCCATGGGCGGAACTGGCACCTCATTGGCCCAACACTCAGTGTAGCGATTGTCGCCGCACCGAGCGTTATCGAGGAAAGGGGTTCCACTTTCGAATACGTGGCGACGACGAATACAAGGAAAGAACGACCCAGATGAGGCCGTCCACGTCGGATTCTGAACTCTGTAGCAGGTGGCGCCCAGATTTACTTCGAAAACGAGATCCCACGTGCGTAACCCAACCTTCCTGTTCGAAAGACGACGAGTAGCCCGCCTGAAAGTTCACATATACTTTTTGGATTAGATGGAAGTTTGAAAGCAGAGCCTGCCAATTCGTTCGCGCGGCTATGTCCCTTCTCACGAAAACTGGAACCACACGGGGGATTTCAATATTGTCTGTGTCCCCACACTCAATTTTTCCAAAAATCCTTGGCTAACCTAGCTTTTTCGGGGCGCCCAGGGTGCCCGGCCGGGCGCCTTGCCCGGGTAGGGACCTCGCCCGGGGTAACCGGGCATGAAAAAATCCACTGAAATGTTCTTTTTTTTTTTTTTGTCTGTGGGGCTTTGCTGCACTCTCCTAATACTCCCCAAATCCGGCCTCATTGTTTCTTTCCAGGCATATCGGTTTCAGTGTGTCGGGGGGTGGGGGGGGGGAGGGGGGTATAGGAGTGGCCACAGGAAGAACTGCTGGAATATGTGGCAACAGCGACCCAGGACTTACGAGTGATTCTGTTAGGCACCTACGTTGTAGCTACTTAGCCCACCAGCGAACGGGAGAAGAATATGTGCATAAACAGGAAGAGTTAAATGGAGATCCGATTGGGGAGCAAACAGAAGATGAATGGTGTGTGGAAAGGGTGAAGGATTCTATATGCAGAGTGACATGGGCCAAACTCGTCCAACCGAAACGGTTTGGGGGCCTGACCCTCCTTGACCCACGAACGCAGATTATTGCCCTGCAATTACGACAACTGCTTTGGCACCTGCTATGAACGATGGGGGATGCATGGCAACGTGTCGTCCGGGCCCACCTCGCCTACGTATTGCAAGTGCCCAAGGACATTATGGGTTTGTGCGTTTTGGATAATAAGGCGATCCACCATGTTCGTACGGACACGATGTGGTCAACAAAGGTGGCGCTGTGGAAGAAAGTGCAGGTGAGGTGTCGCCTACCTGAAACCGCGGATGCAGTGTTCAACCAACTGTTATTTGGTAATAGGTTCATATGTGATGCCAGCGGTGAGCCCCTGCCCTGGCACAACCCGCGGGGAGCCTATGGATGGAGGTGGGCGGCGCAGGGCATTTACAAGGTGGGCCACCTATGGGATGAGGACCGAAGGGACTAGCGCCCGGATAATAAGGTGTCAGAATCCCTGCAAGGTAGGATGAGGAGGAGGCAGAGGGTGGGGGAACTCTGGGAGGTTATCCCTCCCCGATGGATCGACTTGTTGAGAAAGGACGAGATCATCCCAGGGGAATTGGTGAGGATGCGGGGAGACACTAAACCGGAGAGAATATACAAGTTGGAGCAGGTGCTGGAGGACGGACGGCTACAGGTCACCGTTTGGGGTGTGAATACGGGCTATGAAGGTCTGGGGGAACCCTTGCAGGGGGGCACAGGGGGGGGGAGGGAACCCCCAGAAAGCATGGACAGGAGTGCAATTGAAATGGTCGCGGTGTGTGAGGGAGGGAGAAGGGGGGGGAGGGACAATACCTTCCCTTCTGTATTGCGCCCAGGCAGCGGGATTTGATATGGGATCCTAGAGAATGGGAATGGCCGAGACAAAGAATGCAAAGGACATACGTGCTGCTCCAGAAACTTACTACCAAGAATATCTATAACTCCTTACTGGAGCCGGTAAACATCTGTGAGGAATTGAGGACTTGATGGGCCAAGGCCCAAGAGAAACTGGATCTCTGACGTATATTTTTGGTAGATGGACACAACGAAGGTGGAATGAGCAATGTGCACTTCTGGCAGCCCTGCCAGATCAGAAACAGGCAGGCCTCCTATGGCAGCTGTACCATCTAGCGATCCCTATGGCGCAGTGGTTGGCAACTAAGAGCCGACACAAGGACTAGAGATGTGCAACAGGTTGTGCACACATGGAAACAGTGCCCCGCTTGTTTGTACGATGGCCGATCGTGCGGGCCTTTTGGGAGTGGTGGGCACGAGAGAGAGCAGACAAAACCCCGCTTGAGGTCACGGAGGAGGAGGATGCGGCTATCCTATCGGGGGCACTGATGAAAGTGGACAGGGCAAAACCGGAGGACCTGATGGCAGCCGAAATTGTGAGGGCCGGGCTGGTGTGGGCCTTGTGGACATTGAGCAACGAATGCTGTAGACATGGTACCTCTCCCCTGCTGCAGGTTTACCAGGATGAGGTGCTGGAAAATATTCGGGTGGCACTCCTGGCGGATTGGCATCACAGCAGAAACACAGGAGAGGGGAAGGAAGAACGGTTCTGGGCCAGATGGGCTCATACGCAGCTGCTCGCCAGAGACCCCCACACGGGCGGTGTTCGGTCCGCTGCTTCTACGTCAAAGACCCCGCTCAGCTGGTTAGTTAAGAAAAGCAACCGATATGTATAGTAGTCAGAGGGGCGGGGGGGTAGGCGGTAAGTAGAACTAGTTTCTTAGCTCGGCAAGTGTACAATACTGGCAGAAGGAGATTAGAGCAGTAGGGCCGCAGGACAAGGGGAGGGGTAGGGTGGACAGGGAGGAGGTGGGGGGGGATGAGTAAACAGACATCACAATACATCAGAAACATAAAATTTACAACAAAAACACCAAAGTTACCAAAAAGAGAGTACAGGAACAGGAAAGTCCATGCGGGGTAGAAGGCTCTGGGAGGATTGAGGATACATTGTATAGCCGAAATCGGCTTAGGGAGAAAGGTACATAGAGACAGTAAGTGATATGGGGGCTAGTCAAGAGGAAGGTACAGTGAGAGTTGGCAAGCCAGCCCAAACAGGTCAGGACAGATAGCATGATAGATGGACAAAGGTAGATTAAGTAGCAAGTGAGGATACAATAGTCTGTGGAGTTCGATAGGCGGCCCAAGGAACTGCAGCGGAAGCCCCTCCCCGCGCCCCATCTCTCTGAGGGTCCCCCTGCTGCGTGTCTGGGTGCTGCTAGGAAGCCTCCCGGTCAGCAGGGCGGCCCCCAGAGAAAGACCATGGTTTGGGGGGGTAGTCCCCCTTGGTAGACGATTAACGCCACAAGGGTTGGGCTGTTCCCCTCTTCTGATCTGATCTCCCCCCTTCTTCGGGTGTACAAACATGCTTGCCGGTGATAAGTAACCGGACTGTTGCCCCCCAGAATAAAAGGGGCTTTGTGTTAAAAAAGAAAAAAGAAGAAGGAAAAAAAGGTGTATGTTAGTTGGAGAAATGTGCGCATGCGCGATTCGACACATGAGATTTTGCAGGGAGGAACACGTGCACACCACAAGAGCTCAAGCAGGTGCATGATGATCCCTACATCCTATTGTGAAATGCAAAGGATGTCAACAAGGGAACAAGAGCTGTTACTCGTCCAGCGGCCTTAGCTCAGATGGTTAGGCACGCAAGTGACATTCAAGAGGTTGTGGGAGAGTTGCTACTCGTCCAGTGGCCTTAGCTCGGTCGGTTAGGCACGCAAGTGGCATTCAGGAAGGTTGTGGGTTCGAGCCCCGCGCCCGCCTGCGGCGTACTTCGTGCCAACCAGCTGTGATTGTCCGCTTGATACCTCAGATCGGTAGAAGTAGGGCCTTCGGCCAACACGGGTGTGAGTGTAAGCATGTGTGTGGTATGTGGGGGAGTGTTGGCCTTACACACAGGCGCATTTGGCCAGGGGGGGAGGGGGGGGGCGGGACAATCAAAAGGGAGGTGTAGCTACTGGCAAAATGCTCGGTCTTTGCATTAGGCGGACCCCCGCCCACAGCCCCACTCTGCGCCCTGACTACAGGTATTAGGACAGGGGGCTATGCTTGCAGGGGTCCCCTGTATAGACTAACTAGTAGTAGTAGGTAGGTAGTGAAAGGCAAAAAGTTGAAAAAACAAAAAAATGAGAGAAAAACTAGGAAGATATCCCAGGGCGGCCGGGTCCTGACGTCACACCCGGTTTGGAGACCGGGTGACCGGCCGGGCATGATCCCCGGGCAGCCCCAGCGCAAAAAAAAAAAGAAAAAAAAAATCCAAAAAAATCATAGGCTACCAGCCGGGCCGCCCGGGTCCCAGGTGGCCAACCCGTGCAAGGACCAAGGAAGGTCCCAAGAAAAAAATAAACAAAAAAATCCAAAAACTCCAAAAAAACAACTATGTTATGCAGAAAAAAAACTGAACAACTTTTGCTTCAGGGTCACATCGGAATTCTTCACCAAATTTTAAATACAAAATAAAATCAAGAAATATTTTTCTTTTTTTGTTTTTATCTTTTTTTGGCCTGGCTGGGCAAGTGACCCTAGGCCACTCTGGTATCTGAGAAAAAAAATGTTGTGTAGAATTGCAATACAAACAACTTTTGGCTGAGGGTCACATCAGAATTCCTCATGGAACTAAGATGAAAAAGCAAATAACCAAATCACACTAAGAAAAGAAAAAGTCCGGATTTGGGCTGCTCTCGGAGAGCGCGAATTCCTCATGGAACTAAGATGAAAAAGCAAATAACCAAATCACACTAAGAAAAGAAAAGAGTCTGGATTTGGGCTCCTCTCGGAGAGCGCGGAAAAACCCCACCGCCAATTTTTTTTTTTTTTCCCCATGCCCGGGTGACCCGCAAGTCATGAAAATCTTCCTAGGAGAAAAATATGGCACAGTTAAAAAAAAAAAAAAAAAAAACTTGGTTACTCTAAATGCAAAAAAAAAAAGGGCTGTTAACTTGTTACTCTACATCCAAGCGCCTCACAAATGGGACGACTTTGGTATCAAAGGAGGGGAAAAAAAAAAAAAAAGGTATCTACAGAGGAGCAACGGAGCAACCAGAAAGTTATGTTGCTCGGCGCAGAACAGCATATCATGGAAAATCAACTAACCAGCTTTTTTTGTTCCTATCAAGAAGAAAAATACAAGAGGGTCTTCTTTCCCCGCCAATTCTTCCAAGCCCGTTCCCTTGGCTGTGGTTACGCAGCATGGTAATAGAGACGCATTGAAGCGACCCAGGCATTCCCTTCCCGCCACTGTAGATATTATCTGCAGATATCATCTGCAGATATTATCTCCCCCTTTCATCATCTCATCAGAATCCTCCAGAAAACCTTAAGCCAGTCTCTTACTGGCAAATCTAAAACAACACGCCCATCGAGACATTATCGTACACCTCCCCTGTACATAGTGCTTGCTATTATGCAGGCAAGAGCCAGATCCTTTTACACGGCTACCACACAGCCGCAGTCTTGTGGAGATTTGCTTGTCACCTACTCCGAGAATTTCGCGCCTCGGTCGCAGTCTTGTGGAGACCACAATGGCTGACAGCTCCAGCCAAAAAAGAAAAAAAAGTGCGCCGGTTGCGGCTCGAAAAGTTTGGCGTGCAGTGGAGCGCCTCCAGGCCCTCGTGTACTGGTGGTTTAAGACAACAATTGCATTCGCCAAAGCAGCTATCACCTGGTCTTTATTCCTCTTCTCTATATCTCTCCCTCCTTGCTGCTGCGATCATTAATAGTCAGCTCCGGCCCAACCTTAGCTGCAACCTTGCTCTTGGTAGTCCAATGCCGCGCTGAAATGAAGGTGGTGGCGTCACAAATTGGTCCACTTCGTCATCCCAAACGTCGATCCGCGGTGCGACCTGAGGAAGTCTCCTGCAGCCAAGTAGAAGAGAAGAGATGGACAGGACATCAACAAACTGAGACCCTCAGTCTTCTATACACTGGTTGACACAATAGCTACACGTACATGCAAAAAATATTTATCTTTAGTACAAAGCTGTAACAAAAAAAAAAAAAAAAAAAAAAAAAAAAAAAAAAAAAAAAAAAAAAAAAAAAATCAGCTCCCCTTTTCTATTTTTATGCTATGATCCTTGTCCAATTCATCTCATACTACCATCCCCGGCACTCGTTTCATTTCTGAAAGACGCAAGACATTCATGCAAATTGCACTCCAGTGCAGCATCATATTCACAACAACGAGAGAAAAAATTCGCGCATGGAGTCTAGCGCACGGAATCGTAAAGCAATGAACCCTAAACCAAGACGCACAGCTTCGCATGCGACAACAAGTCCACACTTCATCACACCAAGCTCCATGAGATGCAAACCAACACGAGATGAGAACACGCGATAAATTTGTTCGAAAAATTGAAGTCTTATGTATACAGTACTATGAACACTCGGGTATGGTCACCTGGTCACCACATCAAACAGTTATGGGTCTATCTACCCCCCGCTCTGTGGTACCGTCAAGTTTCAAGAAAATGTTCGGAAATTCAAAAGTCTTCTGCTGCAGTTCCTCTCCTGCACGAGGACGGTCAATTCATGTACTTCCAGCGTTGTCTGTCTTCAACCCTTGGATATGGGTGATACCCACAGACCTATTGCAATCAGACTCGTTCTCAAACACACTTTTCATGCATGTAAACAGCAACAGCATACTGGCGACATACGCCCACTCAAAATTCAGATATATGGCTTTCAGATACGAGTTCACTCTCAATTGGCTATGGCGACTTCAGCGCCCAA